TTGACCGCCAGGGAATCATATGCACGTTTACTGGATCACCTAATGAACGATCGTCGAAAAGTTACTGAGATCGCGGAATGACTGTGCCACCATCCAATCTTTCTCGAAGTAGTAAAGCCTAATTTTGCAAATATGCGGATGGTGTTTTGAGTATAATCTTGTAGAGGAAATCAAGTAGATCATTTCTAGAAAAAGCCAGAACTCAATATTCAGATTCTATCGTGAGAAAAAAAGCCGCGAAAAATCCGCAATAATTATGCATCAACCTAATAGTATTGCTAGTTCAACTTTGTAGATCCTTATGTCTTCTTACGTCCCCCTCCACCACAAACCGACGACCAGGCAAATATTGAAAATGTCTACTGATTCGTCGATTTTTCTAGAATATGACATTGAATTAAACAGAAAACGACTGCATATTAAATCAAATTCAGTGAATCGAAACTATTTGAATCTATTTATGTCATGATAAAATATTCAACTGATACTTTATTACCAGTTAATCGCTTTTGTTACCTTCTAGTCAGAAAGCAGTATGAACTTTGCTCTTACCCTGTTTCCCCTTTGCATAGCACACCAGTTATCTTTGATCTTGATGACGCTCCTCCCCTTTGCTGGTGACTTTAATCCGGTCTCTGCTACCGAAGCGCGGGCGGATACGGTAGATCCCTTCGAATACAGTAACCAAAGCCAAAAGATACTCACCTTCCGATGGGACCTCTTTCTTCAAGCCACCTAATCGATTTGCTATGTGTAATATACTGCTTCCACCGAGTAATGACGTCATTTCTGAAATCAGGGTTACCTGATTGGGTGAAAAAAATTTGGAATTCAACATTAGAGTAGGCCAACGAAATACGATTTTGAGATGCTATAAACAGGGAGCAGGTAGAATCGAGAATAGTGGAGCGTCAGCCGCCAGCAGCCAACCACCAGCACCACCTAATCAGCGCCTTCTTTTGCATTGTCCTGCCTGCCGCAGTCAACATTTTTCCATTGTTTTCTAGAAGAGACACGCACGAAATTCACCGTCAGCCCGTCAAACGCCCAACACAGCCATCGTTCCCAATGCGGACTATTGTCTGTTGAGTGAAAATGTCAAAAATACCGTATCCATGTGGAAAATTCACCGCCACCACGCCGGAGCTGCCGGCAGTTTAATCATTCGCGGCGATGGTGGTGTTTCATGATAGCACGCGCATAATCACCTATTGTGATCCGCGTCAGAATTCACCGATCGACGGAATGGAATCGGGTGGGAGGGAGTGGGTACGAGCTCGCTAATTGGGTTATTCAATTCTGTATTCGATTAGAACAGTTCAAGGTAAGTGCTTCCCACTCGAAACCTTAGGGAGCTACTCCTTGGATGGGGTTGGTACCCATACATAGATGACTCATAAACAATCCAGATGACTCTTGACTGTTTTGACGCAGTCTCTCTTCAACTGCTACTGATCAGTAAGTTCCTGAGCTAAGTGTAAGGAAAACGTTTCGGTTCGGACGGATTGATACCCATATATGCTCCCAAGAAACGGTGTTCACCCACTACACTACCAGGTATACCTGCGAAGTTATCCGACATATGTACACAGAAGTGGTCTCAGGAATCCCAAAAAGCCTGGGCTGCTCAGGCCAGCCGCAGAGTACCTTTAACACCTTATTTTTTCAACCGCGTTCCCTTAAAGCTAAAAAGTCGTGGGGCGGTAAGGATTCCCGCCTGGGCGGGGTGCCCAAGCATTCGACTTCCATTCAGGATGGAAATGGCAAAATGCATGCGGAGCTATACAATGACTTGCGGTGGTACAAGTCAGACTTTTACCCTTCCAGGCAAGTCTGGTACCAATCAACCGACCCCGGAGGAATGGAGGGCTTGTTTCGGCTCGGGCGGATTTCGGTCTGGGATTCGAACCCGTGACCATGCGTATGAGGTAATGCGTCTCTTTCCATTATTCCACCTCAACTTCGCGTTCCATTTTATTCTGCTTAGATGTTGTTCTTTTTTGATTTAGGGTTATCCCCGCTACTGACTGCCAGGTAATGATCGATCCGATCATTATGTTTTATATTTTTACTTTATGCGTTTCTCCATGAAATTGCAAACGAAGTTTTCAAGAACTCGACTCAAGTCTAATTCGCTAGGGAAAATGGCTCATAAATAATTCAGAAAAAGGAGGTCGAAGTTTTTTCCACATTTCGCCAATCTTGAGAGAATTCATAAAGGGTTCAACTGTCCCGCACCAATTATAGGATCTTATTACCCTATGTCACAACGGAAGTTGAAATTTATCTGTAGCAAATTCATTCGAATAATATGAACGGCCTATTCATCCCGGGCTCTACTCAAGTTGTTCGAATATGGCTGCTACAATGTACCTAAGTAATAGGCTAAAAAGGAATCGCCTTAGATCGCCTTAACCACGTTTCCGGCGTTTCATCAGAGATTTTCAAAAAAGACTATGAGTATTTGTAAGTAAGCCACGGCAAAGATCTATCGCTATAAACTCACGAAGACTACTGTTACAGGCCATTTTTGGAAATTACTGCGAAAATTCGGGTGACCAAGGCTCCTCTACTTATAGGTTTGTACCCTTCAGTATGAATCGGAGGTACGCATGATTGAGGCTCTTCTTGATGACTTCAGTGTAATCACTAAGTTACAGAAGGGCCTAGAGCGTCTCAGACTTGGGCCAAGATTATGATCAAAAACATTTCACGGGTAAGATTGATCACTCGAAGTACTGCAACAAGTTTCAAAGAAGGCGATCTTCAAACTATTGGAATCGTATTAAATACAAGTGCTCGAATTCAGCAAATTTTAGTCAAGGAGATCCTTGAACAAAGTTAAGCATAAGAATTATTTGAGGGAGTTAATTAGAAACATATGCTGGATAAGAAGTGAATTCTATGCCAATTTCGAGATAAAGCAGTGCATTCTATTTCTATTTAACATTGCAGCGGCGTTTGAGGGCGTATGTGGCCTATAAGATAAAGTTTGAGGGCTGCCGATGTACAAGTCGGTACTTTTATATTTCGAGACGCTTCTGACCTCGGCGTAGCTCTGGTTGCCTCAAGAGGGTATTGAAACGGGACTCGATCCCGAGTCTCACATGAAGTAGAAGTGCTACTTAATGTTCTATCATTCCGCTTAACCCAGGCACAGCACGAAAGCGAGTAAAGGTGTAAACAATACTGTGTAAATGATGAGTAAACCAAAACAAGCTTCTAAAGCACCTACGCCACTTTGAGAAAAATATGTGATTACTCAATATTCATTCTAATATGAACATATTTGTTGTAATGGTGAGTACAACGCTCACAGTATATGAGTTGCCGAGTTCCTCGGAGCCCACCGAGATCCCAATCCGTTGGTGTCGACAGGCCGTGACTATATCTTAGACGGCTGATCGATGACAAATAAGTTTGAAGGGAACATAAGCGTCGGCATCGGCATCATTACTCATTGGGTTAACCACAACCAAAGCCATCAAAATTGCTCACAAGCCCGATTAAAGCACGAGCGCGTGGCGCAACCCAGAGGGATTTTCTGTACGGTTTGCCTCTTACAAATCGGCCGTTCGCCTCAACACTGTGAATAATCAAACAATAGAAGAACACGATACACTATTCTTCATCGAATCTGTGCTCTATGTATATTAACGACTCCTTGGGGTTCTTTATTGAAATGTCAAAGATAGAGAGAACTAGTTGAAAAGGAAGCAAGTGAATGCGGAATAACTACAGTTACAAAATTGGCAGAACTTGCTTGATGCCAACTTTGGCATTCAATTGCACTGTAACATTTCAAATACTTGACAAATAAACACAAGCGTTCATTTCTGAGTGCGCCATGCATTCGAATCTTTTCCAGGAGTCGAATACCCGATGTCATCGCCATGAGTGACATTGAGAGAAAACGACCATGCGACTAAAGTAAGCAAGCACATGGCATTCCATGGAGAGTTCGAGTGATCGGAGTTGCCAAGGGGAGCTTGATGGAGTCTTGGGACTTGGCAACAAGATTCTGGAGACAGTGATAATGAAGCCGATGCCACCCCTACGACATCGAAGGAAAATGATGCTGCGAACAAAGTGACAAGCCCATGGTATTCCATAGGGCATCTGATCTTATCTTAGTTGCCAGGCTCGAAGGAAGTATTCAGAGCTTGAGGCAGAGACAGTGATAAAGCAGCCGAGGGCAATAAGCAAAGCTATACAGTAACGGGATGGTAGGCGATCGTCGAAGTCTCTAGTCGCTTAGCGCCATCTCTGTCGGTCTCTACTATTTACGGGTCTGTTGATGTGTCTAAGTGGATTCGCACTCGTTTGCTACTTGTTAGTAATGACAAATACATAATGTTTGTTAGGCCACGCCAAGTGTATATATGTGTATAGATGGAAGAAGCCCCCCTCTTCATCGATGAAACCAGATCTTAGAGAATATGTACAGAGAGGAGACGAGATCTTAGAGATGCGATAAAACGACACACACACATCACCAGTCACACTCGGAAATGTACGTACAAATTAGCATCTGCAGATGAATAAGGCCAGCTTTTAAGCCCAAAGCAAATATAAATACACTCGGTGAGGAAGAAAAGCAAATGATTACGGAAGTTGCCGAACGGCTGCGGTCACAAAGTTGAACACCTCATTAAACCGCATCGGCTACTCAGAGTTCTATATTACTTTCTTGAATTTAAACTGTGAAGTACCCCTCAGTGGTCCTCTTTTTAAAGAAATTGATTCCGAAAAGGCAGACAAATCATGTGCGCCCGGTGGAAGATCGAAGAAAATTAATGTTTGCTCTGGACCGTCCCTATAGATGTAGGGATAGGATGAACTCAAGAAACGTGCTACTCCAACCTGGCAAGTGCTCTTCATGTGAGCCCTTTTCCGCTTGGTTCCTTCCTGCCTCAAAAATGGGACATACTCTTATCGGAGCAAATTAATAACCATTCCATGCAGAGTTTCACATGCAGTAGTCAAGAATCAATCGTTCCGGGCACAACTGCAATATTGTTTCGCCCAAGAGGGGTTTGATATCAAGAGAGGTACAATTGAGACTGTGGGTGA